AGGAAGACCTTTCTCTCTGTCTCTCTCTCTCTCACTGTCTAACTCTGCCTGTCAAAAAAAAAAAAAAAGAATACCACATAAAAACTATCAACACAATTTAAAGTTAGGACAAGGATGTAGCGTGTTCGGAGACAAAAATGCAAAAGTCAGTGGATTCTCGTTTCATAGGATCATCTGTAATTGCAAATCCTGGAAGTGCTAAGTTCATTGACAACGTGTCAGTCCCCCTGCCAAAGAAATGTGGCAAGTGACAATCAGAGCACAGGAAGCAAAGTGATTGACAGGATGCTTCTGTCCGGCAGCACACCCCCTGGACTGAAGCACTGACTTGGCTGCCGAGGTAAGGCGGTCATTCTATCAGCACAACAAAGTGAAATGAGTCAGTGCAGACCGGCACCGCTGGGAGTTATGTGTTTTAACTCACTGACTCTCCTAACACCCTGAGAGGAAAACATTACCCACTAAGTGTTATTATCTCCATTTTGAAGATGATGAAGCTTAGGCAACATGCCTCTGTGTTGCACAGCTGGGACAGACAAGATTAAAATTGAAATAATTCTGGCACCCAAGGCCAAGCTTTTAATCATTGTGCTACATATTTTAAGTATAAAAAACGTATGTGTGTGTATTTAAAAGAAGGGATAGCGGGGCGGGCGTTCAGCCCAGTGGTTAAGACATCTGCATCCCAGATCGGAGCGCTTGGGTTCGATTCCCAGAGCAGACTCCCAGTTTCAGCTCCTGCCAGTGCAGACCTGGGAGGCAGCACATGGCGACTCAAGTAATGGGGTTCCTACCATCCCTGCGGGAGGTGGCTCCCAGCTTTGGTCCATCTAGTCCTGGTCATTGTAGGCAATTTGGGAATGAGCTAGCAGATTTGAGCTCTGTCTGTCTGTCTGTCCTTCCTTCTCTCTCTGCCTCTCAAATAAAAACAAAACAAGATTGAATTCAGTCAAACAAATACCGTGTTGCTGCTGTAACAAATTACCATACGCTCAGTGGCTTAAAACAATATTGATTTAGTACGTTGGGTTTCTGGAGGTCAGAGCCTGAACGCACCCGGCCAACATCACGGTGCTGTGGGAGCTGCGTTCTTGCTGGAGAGCCCAGGGAAAAATCCACTTCCTGCCTTGTCCAGCGTCTAGGGGATGCCTGCATTTCTCGGCTCTCAGTCACTTCCTCCGTCCATCTTCAAAGCTAGCAGCAGAGCCCCTGCCGGTCTCTCTCTGCCTCTGCCCCAGACTCTCCTGTCTCACCTTTTCACCTACAAGGACCCTTGTGAAGACACTGGACCCACCCAGGATAACCTTTTTTTAAGGCCAGCTGCTTAGCAACCTGCTTCCACAACCTTCATTCCTCCCTGTCGGGTAACACGACATCTTCACGTGCTCAGGGATTAGGTCATCTTTGCAAGGTCGCTTCTCTCCCTTCCACAGCATCATTAGTTCAAAACCCAGAAATTACAAAGCCAAAATATATGCAATGAAAAAATCTCCCGCCTATGTCTTCCCGTGAGTCACACAAGTCCCTTCCCCAGAAGCCACTCGTGTTTTCAATTAATTGTGTCCTGGATTTCCTAGATGTGTATAAGGGCAACTATGCATATTTGTTGTATTTTATTTCTTATCTGTTTTAGCTTCTATGCATCTATAATTCTACATTAACTTTTTTTTTTTGAAAGTATGTTCTGGAGCTCATTTCAGTTGATACATAAAGATCTTCCTCCACCATCATCATTGTCGATCAAATTCGTCACCTGTCTCATATTCCATTGCGTGGATGTGTCTGTCATAATAGATTTAACCTCGTTTCTCCTATAAGACACTTTAGGGGTCTCCAACCTGTTAGTTTTTTTTTCCCCCAAACTTTTGCTGTACAAACAGTGCTGCAATGACAGCCTGGTACCCTCTTTACTTGACAAGTGCATGAGGACCTCCTTCGGAAGGGGGGAGGAGACTGTCAGGACCAAGTGGGAGGCGCTTGAGTTATTCTGAGAGCTGGGGCTAACCCGCCCTCCTCCACTCTTCCCAATGAGAAATATTGTAAAAATACAGAACAGTATGTGTAACTAAGGAACCTCATACATACTTCTTGATTTCTAGGTAGGCACTTTTGCAAAATCTTCAGCTGGTATTATTTGTTTTTTGTGGCTTTCATTCATTCCTTTCAAATTTAACAAGCTATTTAAATTGCAATTTTAAAATTTCCCTGTTTATAGCACGTGATATTGGCTGTGTACTTACAAAGGGCCACACATTTCCACTCAACTCTATCTCTTTGCATTTAAGAAGGTGAGATGATTTAAAGAAACACGGAGCGCAAAGAGCAACACAGATGTTACACTGACACAGCAAAGGTCATGAAGGCACTGCCAGCACGGCTGCGGCCTCACAGCAAACAAGCATCGCCTGTTTAGTTTTTCTTGATGCTTTTTTCCATAACAGAAGGTCACTGTCAACAACAAAAGCTCCTTATTGGAGGAGGAGAGCGTGCAGGGCGGCGATTCTGCAGGATTCACAAGGGATCGCCCCGTCCCTTGTGATCGCCTCTAATGATTCACGTTCATATCTCGTGGACAAAAGCCAGAAATTCGGGCACGTAGCAGAGAAAAAGTCACTTCCAAACAGATGACTTGAAATAATTAAATCCAGACCGTCCTGGAACATCGGGCTCCGGGCTGTTGGGAAGGCGACAGGTTTTGGGGAGATTCGGCCCTGATGCCTGCGCTGCACACACACTCACCTTTGCCAGCCTCTGTCAGGCTCCTGTTCCCATCCTGGGCCCTCTGTAGGCTGCCAGTAGCACACTTGGAATCAGGGTTGTCTCCGAGGGCCTCCCCTGAAGTGACCAGTGTATGACATCCCCTGGGGAGACAGGAAGGGGACACAGACCCCAAGATTGGCCTTGGCCAGCCTTCCCCAAGGGTGGTCTCCGGAAAACAGATCTACAGAACTTCAGCAAATGGACTTGAAAAGGGGGCTCCAGCCAGCGCCGTGGCTCACTAGGTTAATCCTCTGCCTTGCGGTGCCGGCACACCGGGTTCTAGTCCCGGTCGGGGCACCGGATTCTGTCACGGTTGCCCCTCTTCCAGGCCAGCTCTCTTCTGTGGCCAGGGAGTGCAGTGGAGGATGGCCCAAGTGCTTGGGCCCTGCACCCCATGGGAGACCAGGAAGAAGCACCTGGCTCCTGGCTTCGGATCAGCGCGGTGCGCCGGCCGCGGCAGCCATTGGAGGGTGAACCAATGGCAAAGGAAGACCTTTCTCTCTGTCTCTCTCTCTCACTGTCCACTCTGCCTGTCAAGAAAAAAAAAGGGGGGGGGGGCTCCATGATGGAACGCTTGGGACAGCTTTCCTTACCACCCCCCTCCTTGGAGCATTTATGAAGCCCATAGGCTAGAGCCGAGACTCCATCAAGTGTCCCATGAACCAGGCTTTCGGTGGTATTAGCCTAAAGCAGGACGTATGTGGCTTAGTTTGTTTGGGCAGCGATATCAAAACACCACAGCTTCAGCCACTCAGACAACAGAGCTTATGTCTCATGGTTCTGGGCGCTGCGAAGTTCAAGATCAAGGCTGTGGCAGACGTGGTGTCTGGTGAAGACCCACCTCCCACTGTCGACCTTTTCAGCGTCACCTCTCTGGGGTCACGTTCATAAAAGGCACTGGTCCTGGTCAGGAGGGCTCCACCCTGGTGACTCAGTCACCTCCCAGTGGCTCCATCTCCTAACAACATCACCTTAGGGGTTGGGATTTCAACAGATGAATTAGGACAGACATTTAGACCACAGCAATGCATTTCTAGAGCGAAATATACAGAGAATAGGAATTATCTGAGTTTTCTTTTGTTTGTTTGTTTGTTGTTTTTTTGGTGGGGTGGGTTCTACTCAGAGTCACCAATCACCTACTTCGTGGTGGGGTAAGCATTTGGTGTACTGGTTAGGACATCCCACATTAGTTCAAGTCTCAGCTCCTGATGCCCGCTCCCTGCCAATGCCCACCCTGGGAAGCCGCAGGATGGCTGAAGCAGTTGGGGTCCTGCCCTCCTACAAGGGAAACCTGGATTGAGCGACCAGCTCTGGGCACTCGGGGAATGAACTAGCAGATGGAAGATTCTCTTCTGTTGGCCTCTGATTCTCAGCCTTCTAAATAAAATGAAAACTAAATAAAAACCTTTAAAAATAATAAAATCCAATCAGATCTATAATTAAATTTGTTTAAAGCACATTCATAGTTAATTCTGTGTCTTGGATGAACTCGTTGATGTGCGCTTATATATATTTTTTTTTAAGATTTATTTTATTTATTTGAAAGAGTCACAGAGAGATGTAGAGGCACACAGAGAGAGGTCTTCCATCCTTTGGTTCACTCCCCAGATGGCCACAATGGCCGGAGTTGTGCCAATCCGAAGCCAGGAGCCAGGAGCCAGGAGCCAGGAGCCAGGAGCTTCTTCCAGGTCTCCCACGTGGGTGCAAGGGCCCAAGATCATCTTGTACTGCTTTCCCAGGCCACAGCAGAGAGCTGGATCGGAAGAGGAGCAGCCGGGTCTCGAACTGGCACCCATATGGGATGACGGCACTTCAGGCCAGGGCTTTAACCTGCTGCACCACAGTGCTGGCCCGCTTGTATGGTTAAGAACTTCAGTGTGGAGCACTCTGCCTGACTCCACACTGGTTTTGCAGCCCTGATGGCCAGGGCTCTCTCACCAAAAATGGGCATTCCTAGGAAACAGGCGAGCACAACTCGGCAGAGCTCCCAGGAGAGCCTGGGAGACAAAGTCACAAATCCCGTACCAGCTTCCCTTGGGGCAGCAGTTCAAGTCCCTGCTGCTCCACTTCCAAAACAGCTCCCTGCAATGGCCTGGGAAAGCAGAGGAAGACGGCCCAAGTGCTAGGGACCCTGTACCCGAATGGGAGACCTGGAAGAAGCTCCTGGCTCCTGGCTCCTGGCTCCTGGTTTTGCCCTGGCCCAGTCCTGGCTCTTGTGGCCATCTGGGGATAAACCAGTGGCTGTAAGATCTCCCCCTTCCCCTCTAATTCTGCCTTTCAAGCCATCATGGCGGGGTATTGGGATAAGTTTTCAATTAGCAATAATCGCACCTTGGATAAACCTCATTGGCTGCTATACTGCCACTGCGCAAAGCTTAATTCTGCCTTTCAAATAAATACATAAATATTTTTAAATGTATCTATTTATTTACTTGCGAAGCAGAGAGAGCTCCCATCTCGGGTTCGCTTCCCACATGCCCACAATGGCAGAAGCCAGGAACTGGGACTTCATCTGGGTCTCCCAGGCAGGAACCCAATCACCGGCTGCCTACCGGGGTCTGCATTAGTAGGAAGCTGGAGTCAGAGTCGAGCCAGGACTTGAACCATGGCACTCTCACATGCCATGTGGGTGTCCCAAGTGGTGTCTTAACCTCTGAGCCAGACTCCCGCCCTTTAATGAGATTCAAGAAATATAGTATGTGTGGGGGCCAGCTTTGTGGCAACTGGGCTAAGTGGCCAAGCGACATGCTAGGATCCCATATGCTGGGTCCTGGCCGCTCTGTTTCTGAGCCAGCTTCCTGCTAACGTGCCTGGGAGCAGCAGGAGATGGCCCAAGTCCTGGACCCCTGACACCCATGTGGGAGACCAGGATTGAGTTCCAGGCCAAGATCTGGCTATTGCGGACAGTTCTGGAGCAAACAAGCAGACTGAAGATCTCCCTCTACCCTCCCTCCCCCCATAGATCTACTTTTCAAATAAGTAATTCTTTAAAAAAGAAATAAATGTGACATGTAGCACTTATTCGGATCCTATTCAGATAAAGCAATCATTAAAGTCATTTTTTGAGACAGCTTGGGAAGACTGAACCCAGACAGGATAAAAGGATATTAGATGACATTAAGAAGTTCTTGGAAATGTTAAGTGGAACTAGCAGCATCGTGTTCTGGTTTTATTAAAGTACTCATTGGCTAGAGATAAACCCTGAAGTGTTTACAGGTAAAATGATAGGTCCTCACGGAATCTCACACTCCAGTGAAAGCAAACCAGCAATCAGGACAGAATCACTGGGTGGGTGGGTGGGAGGAACCAAATGAAAACAGCAGAGCAAATGCCGGCAGCAGTGAAGCTGGGTGCTGAGTAGGGGAGTGTCAATGTCCTTATCTCTACATTTATGTGTGCTTGAAAATTGACCTGAAAAAGGGCCGACACTGTGGCGAGGCAGGTGAAGCCACTGCCTGTGATGCCAGCATCCCATGTGGGTGTCAGTTCGAGTCCCGGCTGCTCCACTTTTGATCCAGCTCCCTGCTAATGTGCCTGGGGAAGCAGCAGAGGATGGCCCAAGTGCTTAGGCCCCTGCACCCACATGGGAGACCCGGAAGAAGCTCCTGGCTTCTGGCTTTGGCCTGGTCCAGTCCTGGCTGTTGCAGCCATTTGGGGAGTAGATGAAAGATCTCGATCTCTCTCTGTCTCTGTCTGTAATTCTACCTCTCAAATAAATAAATAAATCATTTAAAAATTGCCCTAAAAGTGTTAAATGAAAAAAATTTATCATTCCAAATCTTGAGAGTTGGACTAAAGAGTTTTCTGAGTTCAGATCAAATGGAAAAAAGCTGGTTCCGGGCGAGATTCTAAGAGGGTTTTGTGGGGGCAGCCCTGGGGAGCCCCTGCGCACCACACAGCTCCCCCACAGTGGTGCAAGATGCCACTACTCACCCGCCCGCCTCGAGACGGCTCCACGCGGTGGGTGCAGCGCTGTTTATTGGATACGCTGCACTGGCTTCGATAACGTCTGTCTACGGAGCTAATTAAATCATGAGATTCAAAGCTGTGAGATGGCCCAGTTTACACGCGAGGAGTCCCTTTTGCAAGGCGGCAGCCGTGCAGTGAATTCCCCTCGAAGTCATAATTAGTCATCCGGAGTTGTTCCCAATCAAGTCAGGCCTCTGACAAAGAATTTCCAATTTACTCCAGAACCTTCCCTGGTGGCGAAGCTGTTTATTGGGTCTCTGCATAAACAGATGGGGGGGGGGCGAGCAGGAAAAGGCCTCCGGTCTGGCCTGGAAGGGCCTATTTCTCAAGTTCAAGTGTCCAGTTGAAGGGGCTTGCACCAGACTAACAGGGACTGCGGTTCCTCCTCTAACTGTGGCCTCAAAACAGCGGGTCTCTGTGGTAAGGACACAGAGCCCCCTCCTCCCCTCTCCTCTGCCCCAGCCAGGAGCCTGGGGCCAAGCCCATGTGTGCAAGCGCTGCAGGGAACAGCACAGGAGGCTGGAGAAGCTGCTGCACCCAGAACCAGTGGCCCAACATAGCCAGGGCTGGGCCAGGCCGAAGCCAGGAGCCAGGAGCTCCACCTAGGTCTCCCAAGTGGGTGGCATGGGGCCAAGCCCTTGGGAGATCACCTGCTGTCTCCCTGAGTGCGCAGTAGCAGGAAGCTGCATCAAAAGCAGAAGAGCTGGGACTCGAACCAGGCACTCCAATATGGGATGTGGGTGTCTCAGTGGCCACTTAGCTGCTGCACCAACTGCCTGCTCCAGCCACTAGGTTTAGATTTAGACGGCTTTCCCATGAAAACCCTGGCCTGGCCCACCCTAGCCGCTATGATAGCGAGCAGCATTTATCACGCGCTGTATTGCCTCACGTTGTGTTTAAGTTAGGAGGTTGGGAGGACACAGGGTTGGAAAAGCTCCCTAGGGTTTTCCAGCTCCAACCGCAACCAGCAGTTCAAGTCCCTCTGCAACATCCCCGAGTGGCCCTCTGTGTTTGCCTGAATCCCTCCAGGAACACGAGCCAGAGCTGCTGCTTGAAGCCTGCCCTGGAAGAAAACGGAAAAAACCGAGGACCTAAGCGCTGGTGCTGTGGCATAACAGGTTAAGCCACTGCCTGCAGCGCGGCAAACAGCGGAGTTCGGCCGGCTTCTGCCTTCACACTGTCGACACAGCACGGCCCCTCTGCACAGGATTGGCTGTCCCCGTCTCAGAACTGGGAGAAATGCATTTCTGTTCTTTGGTTACTTGTTTCTCTATTTAAGAGGTAGAGGGGAACAGAGAAAGAGAGAGAGAGAGCTCCCCCTCCATTCACTGGTTCACTCCACAAATGAAATTCTTGCGATGACTGGGGCAGGACTGGGCTGGAGCTGGGAGCTAAGAACTCCTTCCAGGTTTCCCAGGTGGGTGTCAGGGGCCCAAGCACCGGGGCCATCTTTTACTGTCTTCCCAGGACACACAGCAGAGAGAGCGATTGGAATTGGAGCAGCTGAAACTCAGGACTCGAACAGGTGCCTATATGGGATCCTGGGGTGGCAGGCAGCGGCTTAACCCATTGAGCCGCAACACCAGCCCCAGGGAAGAGTCTTAGCCCCTGGTTTGACCCTGCTTCATCTCCCAAGGCCGAACTGAGGATCCTTGTCTTCCTTACTGTTTGCTTCCCCTTGGTCCCTTCTGTGGCCCCCTCATTGTCTCACTTTGCCCGTAGCCCCGTTCCCACCATGGTTTGCAGTCTAACCCTCTCCCCCTCCCTTCCTGTACTATTTATAGAAGTCAAGCAGATGATTGCCTTTCAGTTGTCTGCTCAGGTTTGGGCGAGAATAGAAACGGCTCACAAAGAGGCAATGAAATGTGCTAGATCAAAATCATGAAGGCAGACACCACTCGGGAGGGCTCCCCGCTACCCCAGGGGCCGTGCCACGTGGCCCCACAGCACAGACCCAGGAGGAAAATATGGCTTTCCTGTCTACGACCTCCGCTCCCAGGATCTCCCAGGACCACACAGAACCTCCTGAGAGTGTGTGTGTGTGGGGGGGGGTGCTGAGAGCAGGAGCCAGGGTGAGGACACGACGGCTCCGGCAACCAGCCGCCGGCACCCTGCTTGGGACACCTTTCCCTCGGTGGACACTGCCAGATTCCTGCGTCTCCTCCCTGGCCTTGGCGTCCCACACCCGTGCTTGTCCTGTACCTGGGGTAACTCTCACACTGCTGATCCCCTTTCTCCTCTTTCTTCTCTGGAAGCCAGAATCCCTGCCCGCTCCACCGCCGTCCGCCTCCAGCAGCTGCCCCTGAGCCAGGGTGTCCTGCAGGCCTTCCTCTCTCCACCGGGTCTCAGGCTGCGCTCTCCCCCCAAAGCCCTCCGTGCTTCCCGGGAGGGGTGGTCCAGGGTCCTCTCAGGTTCTCAAACGCTCCAGAACAAGCCGTCAGGGTAGGGAGCTGACCCAGTGCTTAAGACACCGCTTGGGATGCCAAGACCCTACTATATGAGAGTCTTGGTGGATTCCTGGCTTCTGGTTCGGATTCCAGCTTCCTGCTAACACACCTCCCCAGGTGCCTGCAATGGTCAGGCCTGGGCCAGGCTGAGGCAAAGAGCCAGGAACTCCATTTGGGTCTCCCATGTGCGTGGCAGGAACCTAAGCACCAGGGCCATCATCTGCTGTCTCCCACGTGGGTTAGCAGGAAGGTAGATTGGAAGCACAGAGTAGCCAGGTCTCGAACCAGGCACCTTATATCAGATGCAGGCATCCCAAATGGTTTAATCCATTGTGCCACAATGCCACTCAAGGTGTCCAGTAACTGTTGCCTCCACTTGGTCCACTCTTAAATTCTCAATAGATCAAAATAACCAACCAAGAATGTCAGGGAGAAAAATGAAAGAGTTTCCCAACTGAACCGCCACCACCACAATAAGTTATTTAAAAGAAAATAATCACCGGGGAAAAATAGAGATTTCAATTAGTTGCCACTCACCCAAAGAGTTCACACTGTGCAATGTATGTGGGTCAGGTAGCTTTTATATATTGCCTGGGCCTCTAAAGCCCAGATCACAAAGCTCAGTTAAAACCTATTTTTCCTGAAATAAGGGTTGACGGGTTGCAGCTGAATACAGAAGCTGGGGCAGTGCAAACACTGCGAACCTGAGCTCCGGCCCAGTAGCAGCCAACACCACCGTTCGTCACTCTCCCCATGTTTCCGCCAGTGGCTGAGCCCGCCGCACTCGCTGTGGTGTGCGCTCCCCATCCCACGCTGCAGGCCCTGGATTGCTTACTCAGTGGGCCAGGATTTCAACTTGACTCTTGCAAACCCCAAAGTCTCCATGCTTAACCTCTGCTTTCTCCTGTCTTGTGCAGCATCCCAGGTATTTTTCTTTTTTAAAAAATTGTTTATTTGAAA